AGAACGTATACAACACATAGGAAAACAAATGGGAAAATAAAGTGTACACTGTTTTCAGAAAGTGGGGGAGAATAATAATTCGTCCGTTTCGCGAGGTTGACCAGATAATTACATGAAAACCATTTCGAACGTCACGCCGTTAATACGATAATACGATAAAATTGAAAAATAACGTTCCTCCTCCTCCCATTTATTTCGCCTTTGCGATCAAACGAGCAAACACACCCGGTTGGGCAACAACTATCTAGAGAGAGAGAACGAGAGAAATAGAGAAAGAGAGAGTATCTCTACGAGGCAAAGCCCGTGCAACAGATAATAGCGTTACAAATAAATCTGAGAGAGCGGGCCGGCGGCCGTTGTTGTCCGATCTTTTCAGTTACGATTCTATGCGGATCACTGCACTCGAGGTCCCCGCAACGAGTTCCTGAATATATGGGTGGTCGATACACGCAGACCAGTCGGCTGGCTACCTGGACGCGGCATTTGCGGCCAGGTATACCTCTACCTACCTATCTACCTACCTACCCCATAGGCAGAAAGAAACGACACAAGGGAGGCAAGGAAAAAAGTGGTCGTCGCTGCGTGGCAGTTGGTATCTGCTCGTGGCGTCGGGCAGTCTACCCTCGCATTGTTGCGGCTTGTCATCGCGAGGGGGTGCGAGCAAAGGGGGGGGCAAGCAGTGAATGCTGGAAAGAGAGAGAATGAGTGTGTGTGTGTATAGGTGAGCCTGGTAGGTGGGCTAAAGGGAAGGGAAGGCAAAGGTACCTCAAAAAGCTGGAGGAAGGCGGGAGTAGATACGCGAGAAGGGAACCCGGCGACCAAGTAAATATGCGACAAGTTAGCATCCGCGTATAAATCTAGCGGCGTTCACGGTGACAGGTCACGCAGCGGAGCCTTCCAGTTTAGATCGCGGTACCCGTCCCATTTACCCGCCTCATTGATGGTGTACGTACGCGCATGTTTCAGATCGGAGAGGGAGGGTTCCCTTGGAATTTTATTCGTTACCCCTACGCACGCGGGGTAATTGTAAAAATAAAAGAGAAAAACAAAAGAAACAGTGTACAGAGGTAGCTTTTTTTGATCGTTTCCTTTCTCTGAAGAAAAGCAGAAGGAAAGAGGTTAACGGTGTAGACGCGGCAAGGCTCGTAAATCTAACGTTACAATTAAGAATTAAAGGTACAACTCGACCTCCCTCCCCCTCCACGGGGAAACACTTGGAAATGGGATGGCCAAATGTCAGGATAGGATCGCGTGCAGACACGTGGTATTCTCATTGTTGTTCTCGTTCTTGTCGTTGTCGTCGTTGGTTGGTGGCGTGTGGAGGAGCCAGGAGGAGAAAAAAGGAAAGGGGGAGAGGGGAAAGAGTGCAACGACAGCGACAGTGACGACGGTTGGTGGCAGTTTTCGCGAAATTACCGGGTTCACCGGCGTACGCTTAACGGGTGCCAGCACGGGATAGCAAGGGCGAGAGGGATGCAAGGTGGTGATGAAGGGGGATGAAGGGAGGGATAGGTTCGTGGTTGTGCACGCGTATATATGCACACGGATAAGAAGTACAGGTAACGGTGCGCAGGTGGCGCGATGGGGCGAGCCGCGCTAACTTCGCTCCGCAAACATGGCAGTCGTCACGCAAGTCGCAAAACCCGCCAACGATATCGCGGCTTTCGAACTCGCCAACAAATACTAGGAAAACGGGTATTCGAAACCATTACACGCGATGGCCGCCGACGATTGTCGTCGTTGTTGTTTCCTGACCGATATAAAACCTTAATAGGGTAGGGAAGGATAACCGAGATTGTGGAGAGGTGGCCAAGAGGGACGGAGGGGGCGAGCTTTTTAGAAAGCGGTATCGGCATATGTATCGCGATAACTCAAACCAAACGGGGGATATGTAAAGTTCTTTTGCTAAGAATCCAACGACGCAGCAGCGCTTTACTGGATCGGGTAAAACCGATTTTACCCGGCACGGACGAGGAGGAGATTCAAAAAAAAAA